TAAGTACAAGATCTGAAGGAAGGGCACAGCCAGGGCACCTGAGAATTTTCTAGTCTAAAATTTCAGAAGTCTGTACGAGAATCGCACAACTTCTGACTTTTAATGGCCCTAAACATACTGAATGGATGACAGGAGGCAGTGTGTTATAGACACTTGCTACTCAAAGTGTGGACCAGTAGCATTGTCGTCCACAAGCTTGTTTTAAATGTAGAATCCCTGGCTGGACTCTCAACTGACTGAATCAGAACGTGGATTTTAACAAGAGCTGCAGTCATTCAGATGCACATTCAAATGTGAGCAGCAACTGTCGTGGAAGGGCTTTGGAGATGGGCAGGTCTGGGTTCAAATCGCAACTCTGCCTCCTACCTGAGCAAGTCTTGGGCCTCAATTTTCTCACCAAAAAATGGAGGTGATACTAGTTAACCTCCAAGGGTTATTGTGAAGATTCAACGAGTCGACATATAAAAAGAAACTAGCATGAGGTCTGGTTTATGTTGAGTGATCAATCAATCAATCATTCGTTTATTTATTCAACAAATCATTACTGATCACCTATTATATTCCAAGCACTCATCTAGTCCTGTGTTTAAAATCTCTTTCAGGAAAAAGAATGTTTTGTTGGGGATGGGAAGGAAAGAAAATGTACCTCTCTAGCAGTTTCAGTACTATAACATGGACAACTTATCTTTATAGGAGTCTCAAATCCTATAGGATCTTTATAAGATTCTCAAAGATCAGGGGCTTCCGGCACCGTCCTCAGACTTTCAAATAGGGGCAGAGGAATGGAGAGGGGGGAATAAGAGAAAGATGGGAATTAGACAAATGGAGAAGGTTTGTTATATTGCCTTACCAACAAATCAAAAGCATTAGAGCTGTCTTAAAAATTAAGCACAAACTGTTAGCAGCACAGATTTTCTTTTATTAGTTTCCTTAAAAAAGAAGAACCAGCATTTCTCGCTGGAGGTCCCACTGGTAGGAGAGGGAATGCAAGGGGTGTTCTTTTCTGCTACCCAGGCAAAAAGAGTTTCTCACCCAAGCCAGTAGGTGTTAATCTGCTTAAGCCTGCCTGAGTGGATCTGTTAGATTGCTGGCACATGGCCATTTAGGGGTTTTGTTTCTCAGACCACAGGGGCCCATTTTTCCAAGACTTCCACTAGCTTTTTGTTTGATAACGTCTATTTCTAGCAGCATTTACTCCTTCAACAACAAATTCAATGGAACAGAAATTTACTGAACACCTACTATTTGGCAGACCCTCTGTTGGGGATACAGAGATGAATAAGGAACAGTTGCTATGCTCTAAGAGCTCACACAGAAGTAAGTGCTGCTTCATTCTCTCAGGTGATGGCTATTATCACTGCGTCTTCCTACTGCTTGGGGGAAAAAGAAAAAATCCTTCGGCTTCCTTAGATGCCCTCTTTCAATCCCCACTGACCTCGCTGTGCTCTCCCGAGGTCTCAGGGGCTGCAAGGGTTAATTACTTGCTTACTGTGGCTGGCTCATTGTTCTCTCAAACTTCCCACCCCTTCCAATTCCACTTCCAATTGTAAAATTTGCTTAATACACTTTAATAATGTTTTTCTCTTCACAGAGGTGATATACGTTATAGAAAAATACAGATAAGCAAAATGAAGAAAAAATTAAAAACCATCTGCAATCCCGCCACCTAGAGAGATAACCTGGTTTAATAAAAAGGATACTTTAAAGAAATTATAACAGTCATCCCATATGCAGTTCAAAATATAGAGGGAAATCATGCAAAATCCAGGCATCTGGTACATGATAATTTGGGGGAGGGGGGTTTCTTTCTATTCTTGTTGCAGTTACTCTCAATGGAGCCTAACAGTCTGCTAAAGTCATTATCTTTTGGGGGAAAATATGATGTAGATGTGCAAATTAGGAGGGGATATTTTTAGCCACACGGGTGGATAAGGACACCGGTGATTTTATAGAAAAACGTGTTTAGAAGTTTGCTGTAATTAGCTAAATTAGTGTTGCTATTCAAATATTCCAATCCTGGTAACAGAATCTGACCCAAGAAACTTGTCTTTTTCCCTTGGAATCTGAAGTGGGAAATATAAAAATTTCTACTTTAAGCAAGTCTGATATAAGAATTCCTGAATTCATAATGAAGAGTGCTTGAATATCACTAGAAGCCAACCCCATGCCAGCCTCAATATATATTATCTCTGTTAATCCTCACAATAGTCCTTCAAGATAGATACTATTAACCCTATTTTATAAATGATGAAAGTAGGGCTCATAAAGCTTAAGAGGCTTGCCCAAGATCTTACAGCCAGAACTAGGACCCAGAGCAAAGAAACATTATGGTAGAGTTAAGTGGAAAGTACATGGCGGACCAGGGTTCAGAGCCCACTCACTGTGGGACCCTGGGCAAGTTCCTTAACGCTCTAGGTTTTCCTGAACTGGACTTTTGTGTGACACCAGTAGCCTGCAATTAATGCTGACATAAAGGACAGTCTTGCTTGATCCCGTCTGATCTCAGAAACTAAGCAGGGTAGGGCCTGATTAATACTTAGATGGGAGACCACCTGGGAAGACCAGGTACTGTAGGTGTAAAAAAATAAAAAATAAGGAATTATAAGCTGACAAGGTCCTTGCAATCTGTGAGGTCAACCGAGGATTGCCTCACCTATTAAAAAAAAAAAAAAAAAAGAACAGTCTTAAGAATCAAGACATGGAGTCCACCGTAAGGCTGTTGTTGAGGACACTGTGAACAGTTCACAGTTGCCTCTTCATGAGGGCGGCTCAGAGAAATTCCCGTTTGTTCTCAATTCCAAGGACAGCATACTCCTGAGCGATGTGTTTACTATCTTAACGGCTCCTCACTTGTCAGCATTGGCTCCTGGAAAACTCTGAGCCAAGTTTAAGGCCCACCTTTAGGAAATCTTTGCACCTTCAGGGCATGCTTGCTCCGCCTCACTCCTGAGTACACGTTTTGCTCCGAATTTGTTCTGATTTCTTCTGTCACTCCCACCTTCATTTTATCTTCTTGAATCTTCTGTACTCCTGTGCGCGCCCTTAAATTCTTTTAGATTTAACTCTCGGTTTCCTCGGCTATGAACTGGGGCAATATTTCTTTTTTAAAAATATTTTTAATTAAGTTTATCGGGGTAACATTGATCTGTTGTAATGCACTTAGCACAGTGCCTGGCCCATGTTAGACGCTCAGTTAATGGTATCTCCTTTCATGCTCTTCAAATGCACCTTCGTCACTTCATTAAAAAAGAAAGATGTTATTTGCATTCCAAAAGATTCTCCGATTTACAAAAGGTTGAATACAGAGTTCTTTTAAGAATAAAGTTTGTTTTTTTTTTTAAGAATAAATGTATTTAAAATAGGATTTCATTCTCAAATACCTTTATGAGTATTCCTTAAGGGGTCTCTGACACATAATTGGCATAGTGCTGATCCACCAGCTCTTTGCTCCATGTAAATAATGCAACTACTCTCGTGTGCTATTTATTTGCAAAGTCTGTGGGATGGAATGGACTGAATTGTTAAAGTGAAAACCTTTTCTTTATCTTTCCAGGGGAATTTTAAGGTGGAAATGGTCTGCTGCAGAATATATAGAATTGGTGGACCAAGTTTTCTCTTTCGCGTCTTAAAAATGGCTTCCCTTAACCAATTCTTTAGTTTTTCACGTGTCTACAAGGGGATGTTGAATCCTATTCCCTCTACCGTCTAAAACAGCTTTAATTATTTCCACTGTGTCAACATTCTAGAATTTATTAGTAATTAAGTTGATGAGTTTATTGTCAAGTTATGCGTTTATTAAATAAAATGAGCTTATTGTTATTAGTGATTTCTTAAATTACCACTTTTAATTCTAACCACTTCATAAAATTCTTAAGCATCCTGAGTGTTTCGAATTTTGTCGGTTTCTTTTCTCAGTCCCTAGTACTTTCAAGGTATCCAATTAAAAAGTAAATTAGTAGAATTAATAATATGTATGGAATAGGTTACCGTTAAGGTCACTGTCTAATAATCTTCAAAAAGAAGTGGGCAAGCAGAACCCAATAATCTACTTATGTTTTTCTTAAAGCAATTTGTTGGATACTTAATGCCCGTTGAGTGTTGAAAAGTTCTTTTGCTGTGCCCGTCTGAACGACATAGCCCCAAGCTTGCTTTTGTCCTTGTCTGTCCCTTCCTATTTCTTCCTACCTTTATTTTCCCTTTTCTTCCTTTTAAGTTTTTTATTGAAAGTCTTTTGGCTGCCAGGCTCTGTGCTAAACATTGCAGGGAGGCGATTGTGGGCAAAACAGAGAAGGCCCCGAGTCTGGGGGGCGGGGTGCGGGGTGGGACAGGCATTAATCAAATCACATTCATTAATAGGTGTGCGTTTACAGATTGGGGTTGGCACCATGAAGGACTGTAGTGAAGAGTGGGATCTGATCTGGACTGGGGTCAGTAGACAGATTCTCCGTATCACAATATGAAGAATGAGTGGGTACCAAGGGAAGAGAAAGGGGTCCAGGCAGCAGAAACAGCATGTGCAAAGGCCCTGTGGTGCTGGGAATTGTGATACTCTGTAAAAAATGAAAGATAATGTGGCTGTATCAGATAGAAAAAAAGGCAAAGGGTAGGGGATGCTTCCGGTGAGGTCAGCAGGGCCAGAGTCACATACTTTGTACAGATTTTGACTTTCAGCTTAAGAGCAATGCAAGGATGTGGTTCCATAGTGTAGCAGTTAGCACGCCTGCTTTACATGCAGGAAGGTCCTGGGTTTGCACCCCAGTGGAGCCATGGTCCATGATTTACGGCCATGCCACCCTGAACAAGCCCAATGTCTGATCTTGGAAGCTGAGAAGGGTCGGCCCTGGTTAGTACTGGGATGGGAGACCACCTAGGAAGACCATGTGCTATAGGCATATTTAAAAAAAAAAAAAAGCAATGCGAAGCAACTGAAGCATCCTAAGAAAGAACTGGGGGTGCGAAAGCTGTATCAGTGACTGATGCATCTCCACTTGTCTCCGCAGGAGCGATGCAGTCATACACGTGGTCTCTAACATACACGGTGACAACAGCGGCGGGGTCCCCAGCTGAAAACTCCCAGCAGCTCCCCTGTATGCGCAGTACTCATGTGCCTTCTTCCTCGGTCACACACAGGGTACCAGTTTATCCCCACAGAGAGGAGCACGGGTAGGTGACCTTCCTGGGATGTTGCCTTGCTTTTAAAGTTGGTTTTAAAGGACAGGGTTTACTTGGAGACGGGAAGAGCGCCAGCCTTTGTCGAGTCCTCGCAGTGTGCTTAGCACTGTACCAGGTATGACGGTCTCATGCAGTCAGTCCCCACCACGACGAGGCGAGGCGGGTGTTAGTGACCCCATTTTACAGATGAAGAAGTTGAGGTTTGGGTGACGAAGTTCAGTCACTCTAGATCACACAGCTGGTAAATGTGGGGTCCAGACTGAGCACCTATCCACCTCCAAAGCCTGTGTCCTTATCTCTTTACTGCTGTAAAGTCTCAAGCTGAAAACTCCCTTTCAGCAGTTCCCTTAGGTGGCTCTTTCAGCACTCTGTGGCCTTATAAAGCTTCCTGGTAGGTCTGAGTCTTTTATGACCATTTAGAGGAGGGCTTCCCCACCTGAGAGCTAGAGGTCCCTGGAAGGCAGTAAGTATTAATGGGGTTCAGGGAATCCCAGTGAGTTCCAGTGGTGCTTTGGACTCTGAATAAATAAATCATTCATTCTATCCACATTATATAGTGATGTTGCTATGATGAATAAACTGCAAATCCATTTAAAAGTGTTACCTGAATCATAATAGCTTTTGCTATTATGCATTGTCTTTATCAAAAGACACTTATCTTAAAATGTCTAACGTGCAGTGATCTGAAAAACACTTAGATGTTAAAAAGGGTCCTTATTCCCTGCTGTGTGGGTGCAGCGAGCCTCACAAGGTTCTGAGAGACCACCTTTGGGGGACACAGTGGAGGGGGTGGGGAGGAAGAGGAGGGCCTCTCAGGTCCCTTCCTCATGGTGGCCCAGCACAGTGCACAAGGTGGCGACCCCGAGCATGGGCGCAGGCCCGGCTGTGGGTGTACTCTGAGTTATTTACATAGGTTTGGGTGCCCCTGATCAGTCAGTAGGCAACCATCGTTTTCTCAGGGGGCCTCTTAGAGTGTTTTCTCACAGGTTTAGAGTAAACTTTGAAAATCATTTCAGAGAGCTTTTGGATTCTGCAGGAACAGCAGGCTAGACAGCCATGTAGTCATATATCGGCATCTTTCCTGTAAAGGGGTTATTAAGAATAGTGATGATAATATCACATGTGTCCACAGGATTTTCTGTTTTCGGAGTGTCTTCCACATGTGACCCTCAGAATAAGCATGTGCAGCATTTTTACAGGTGGGAGAAACAAGGTTGAGAGTAGCCCAAAGCCCCACAGCTCAAAAGTGGCGGAGCCAGGAACTGGGGTCTTTGATGCCTGGTTGTCCGTGCCATGGTGTCTCTTCCCAGGCGTCAACTCAGAGGAAGGTACTACGTTCTTACCCATCATGGGGATACAGAGCCTGAACAATTCAAAAACAGAAATCCCAAAGTAACTTCTCATATATTTTTTTTTTCTATTTGACTTCAGGCTCTTTAAGAGAACAGGACTAGAGGTTTCCATCACTAATTATGTTTTGCTCAGGGCTGGCTTTTGTTCCCTGAGCTCGCTGGGTGGTGAGGGAGCTGTGCTGAGGGGACAAGGGATGTCAACCTGGGAGTTGAAACTTAGCACAACAAAGCCACAGAGCGGAGATGGTAAGAATCAGAAAGGAAAAAAACAAACAAAAAAAAAATGGATAAAAGAGAAAGCATAGGAGAATAAAAAGTAAAAAAAAAAATAATTGAGGTTGAGTTTTAAAGATGTCAAACTGACTTGTTCTTGCTGCTGTTACTCACAATAGTCAATGCTTAATGCGTTGTAGATACACGGGAAGCTATAACTACGGGAGCTATGGCAACCAGCACCCTCCCCCGATGCAGAGCCAGTACCCGGCCCTGCCGCACGAGGCAGCCATCTCTGGGCCGCTGCACTACCCGCCGTACCACAGGAGCCCTGCCCAGGTGAGTCAGCGGTCCTGCCTCTTGCCCAGGCACTGGCATGCTTGGTGCCAGGTCTAGCCAGTGTAACACAGGTCATAGGCACCTTGTGTATATTGTGTGTCGCCAAGGAGAGGATGGTCTTTCCCCACAGTGTCACCTCTGCCCTCCAGCGGCTGCCCACAGTGGGTGCCCGACCAATGTCCAGGCTCCACTTCCTCTCACGCACATGTTCCGCCCTCTCTTTGACCTCTCTAACCCCAGGATCCAGTCAGCTGCCGTGTCTGTTGTCCTTTTTCGGGCAGCCGCCCTCAGGTGGGACCTTTCGTCTCCTTTCCCATCACCGTCATCATCCTCTTGGCACAGACCCGTATCGACTCCCGCCAGGGCTGTTATCTTGGCATCGTCCTAACTGGCCCCTCAGTCTCCCACGTGTGCTTCTGTGTCTTTAGCTCACACACATAATCTTAACCAGAGGAATCCTCCCGAAGTGGGCCCTTTATCAGATCCTTCTCAGGCCACACATGTCCTCTGGCTCCTCACTGTCTAACAAACCAGATCGCCCCTCCGTGGCCCGTGGTGACTAGAAGTTGAGGCTGCACCTGTAACACCAGTGTTGGGCAGTCTACTTGCCTCAGACACGTTCCCGTGCACTGGCCCCAAAGGCAGCTGGTCACCAATTCCATTCGATTCTACATCCTCAGTGTCTCCGCACGCCCACTGTCCTCGCCTCCGCTCAGGTCTTTACCTAACCTAGATGATGGCCAAAAGCCTTCCCATGGGTCTCCACATCGCTGAACTTGCCCCAGCTCCGGTCCATCCCCTGCACTGCAGCTGAAAGAATCTTCTGGCAAAAACCCAACTGGCCATAACACTCTCTTCTCTTTCGCATGCCATCGCTTTCAGAGTCAAGTTAATTCCTTAGCATGTCTCTCAAGACTTGTTAGTTACCACCTGGCCTTTCGGGACTCCCAGTGACCTCTGACCCCCATCTTGGCTCCAGCCACACCATCCCCCCATACAGTTCCCCCCATGTCTTCGCTGATACTGTCTCTTCTGGCTTGGCTTCTCCTCCTCAACCTCTTCTGCTTGTTGTTCAGGACAAGCATCGCACTGTCCTCACGGCACCTGCTGTCATGACGCCTTTGCCTCCTCCAGGACTGGTGGGTGCCCCTCCCCCGTACGCACTGAGCACCCTGGGCTTGCTTCTGGCGGGAGCACTTCTCACACCATTATCATCGCTGACTTTCCTGACTCCCACGGGAGACCCCAAAGCTCCTTAAGGGCAGAAATTAAGTCTAGTATCTCCAGGTCACAGGACACACCACCTATCAAAGGGAACAGGTGACCTTTACTGAACATGTGTCACATGTCAGGCATGGTGCCACGCACTTTACGCATCCTCGAAGAAACCCATGCAGGAAAGAAAATAAGAGTAACTTGCCCGAGGATTTAAACACACGCAGGGCGACCCCGGCTGCCCAAGCTCCTCAGTACCACCCTCTGTCACCTCTCGTATATCAGTATTCTCTGAGTGTTCATTGAACAGAGGAGTAAACGGGGCGGGGTCAGCATACACAACCCATGGTATGCCCAGCACGCACACTCCGTTCTGCCAGTGTGGGGGCCATGGCGGGCTTGCGAGCCTGGGTGTGGCAGGATGAGCACTCTCGCAGCACCCACAGCATGGACCAGAAAGCGGGCTGGTAGAGGCAGGGAGCTCTGCCCCCAAGCTGGAGGCTAGAAGAGAGATGGCAGGAGGTGAGCTGGGGTGGAGGCCGCGATTACATCAGCTGTCAGCACAGAGGCTTGCCTCCGAGGGAGGGCACCTAGGAGAACGTATCCACAATACATGGCGCTCGGGGCAAACAGGCGTCTGTTTTGATTTCCATCTACAGTACCCAGGGGAACCCTGGTATAATCCCCAGACAAGCCAAGGAGTTAGTTCCACTAAATCAACCACCTGGGGTATTCACTGCAGGTCTCCAACTGCGTCACGCAGAGATGCCAGCTCCTTAGGTACTGCTTCTCTTGGGAGCAGAGTCCGTGCTCCTCTCTGTGATCTGACAAATGACTTAGAGCTGCTGCCATAGACTGAGTCACACTTAACAACACAGTCTAAGCAGCTCATTCATTCATTCATTCATTCATTTCTCAAGTGATTGTCGGGTGCCTGTGTGGCAAGCACCACCACAGCCTCCGAGAATGCAGTGGAGAACGAGGCAGAAACGAGCCTCTTTTGGGAGAGCTTACGCTCCAGTAGGAGACACTGGTCTAAGCAACCGTGGCCAGTACAAGCCACAGCTCCCGGCATTATCTTCCCTCTCTCTTCACACCCGCATCCCTCCTCATGCAATTTCTGGAGCCGGTTTTCTGGGGGTGATATCTTTAAAGCCATTGCCATCAAAAGAAGCCAGGGTCTCCTCAAGACCCACGTGGTCCCTGGTGATCGCAGATAGGTCTGTACCCTCCGTGCTGGAAGCCACGACGGTCCCCACCTGGAGCACTAACATTTAGTAGCTGGGCTTAATCGAAGGGCTGAGGACTAAAGAAAGCCCAGGGAGGAGCTTTCTGAATCCAGATGAGGTGTGAGAAGCAATAGGGTCCTTGGCTGGCCTCTTTGCCACCTCAGCCTGCAGCCCTTAGGCAAGGTCTTTGACAACCTCTGACCCCACCACACACACACTGTGCACTTCGTGGCTTACGCCTTAGTCTCCATTTAGAAAGTGGGCTGAGGAGAAGTTAATTATATCACATCTCTGCCAGGTTGATGAGTGAGGTCAGTGCTTCTCTGGGGAATGTGCCGTCTAAAGTTAAGGAATCCTGTTTTAGTTTTCATTAACATTTATGCATCAAGCTCTATTTTAGGCACTTTCAAATACACAGACTCACTTAATTCTCACAGCACGTTCTGGAAGAAGGCATTTTCTCCACTTTTTAAAGATGAGGAAACAGCCTCAGAGGGTAATTTGCCCCAGGTCATGCATCCAGTAAGTGACACAGCAGACTCAAATGCAAGGCAAGTTTTCCAACTCTCGATTCCACTGAGCACTATACTGCTGCTGTGTGTTTTGCAGGGTGGGAGATAAATTCAAGAGGTTACTGCAACCATTTTCAATAAGTTTCAAGTTTCCAAAGAGAAGAACCACACAGCCAATGTACCTTATTTCTTTCCTTTCCTGGTTCTTTGGTTTAAAGTTGAGCGTACAGGGGAGAATCCACTGCAGGGCTAATTAGTTTTAGCCCTGAGCAGAGGCCGAACTGTTCCAAACCTGAGTATTGAAATATCACACTTCATTGTATCAGACTCACTGGGGAAAAGATCAGTCTGAATTGGAGAAAAATTGCAATTATAGAATATGGTTAAAGAATGCCATTGGTCATCAGCAGAATAACTAAAACGAACTCCTGCAAGTATGCCTGCCAGGTTTGCCTTAAAGAACTGATAAGACACACCTGTGAAGTACAATAATTGTATGCATCCCAGCATTTACATGCTCAAAATAACCTGCCCTTCTTTATACTGCTCATTGGCACAACACGTGCTTTCTTCCTGGGTAAAAGGAAGAGAAATCTCCAGTCCTCCTTGAACTCTCACAATTTCTGAATTAGAGAGTCCAGATGAATGAGGTTTCACAGTGTAAGGTTTAGTTATGTCAGAAAAACACCCTCCTTGCAACGATGCTGCACTTGTTCATATCGGAGAAAACGAACTGAGGGACTGTGTCAGCCTTGCCTTCTCTGGTCCCCCATTCTCATGCTCGACCCAAAAGTGAAAGCAAACCAGAGTCAATACATGGTTACAAATATTTCTGAGCCTCACCCAACACATGTTCATGGACCCTCTACCCGGTCAGCTGCCATGAATCTAAACTGGGCCCCTAGAGCTCAAAAACCATTTGATCAACCAGAAGCTGTGTGACTAGAAATACACGCAGCGTAGACTAGACAGCTGTTCCTTATTTCTCATCTGTATGGCCAAGGCCCAGCCTTGCCCGCCAGTCACACAGCTTTCACAGACTCTCCATCCAAGATCAGCCCAGGCCCCGTGGGCCCTCGACCTCAGAGGCGCAGTGACTATGCTACAGTGTTAGCTCAGGGGCTCCGCTTTGGACTAGCATTCTGGGCCAAAGGCAGTAAAAATCCATCAGCCACAGTGATATCAGCCCAGGCCCCGTGGGCCCTCGACCTCAGAGGGGCAGTGACTATGCTACAGTGTTAGCTCAGGGGGCTCCGCTTTGGACTAGCATTCTGGGCCAAAGACAGTAAAAATCCATCAGCCACAGTGAAGTAGGATCTCTGACTGTGGAGCCCGGCTTCCCAGATTCAGATCCCAGCTCTGCCTCTCATTAGCTCTGTGCCTCAGTTTCCTCATGTGAAAACTGGGGGTAATGACAGTACCTATTTCATAGGATTGTTGTTAGTGAGTTAAGTTGTTAGTGAGTTAAGTGAGTTAATAAAAGTTAGAACAGGGCCTGGTTCACAGCACTATTTGTGTATATTATTATTATCCTTTGTAATACCATAGTTATGTTTTGCGTGATTACAGAATTAATATCTGTCTCCCTCACTATACCTAACCAGGTCCTTTTTTTCTGACCATTATATGCCCAGGGCCCAGCATGGGCTTGGGCCTTAGTGGGTACTCAGGAAATACTTGTCGATGGAACGAATGAATGAATGGATCCTCACTCTGGCACTAAGTTTCTATATAACCTCAACCAGGTCATTCATTTCCTCTCTCTTGACCTCAATTCCTTCATCTGTAAAATGAGAGGTAGGACCACTAAGGCTTTCCCTATCATGAATGGACCATGATCTTATGATTTAAAGAAGAATATTAATAATAGCTAATATGTTCTGGAAACGTACTACATGGGAGTTCTAAATGTTTCATGTGCATTAACTCAATTAATACTGACCCCAAAAGCTCAGCAGATATGGATCGTCTGGCAATGATTTGGGGGAAGAGCTACGTCCTCTTCCAGGCTCAGAAGAAGCCTGGCTGGAGGCAGGCCCACTGGCAGAACTTCGGTGCGGTGAGAGCCGCCTTTCATAGGAAAACAGTTTGTCCTCCTGACTGGGCCACCTTTCACCCCTTGCTCAAGTAGCAGTCCATTTGGTAAGGGTCAGGGATAAAGGGCTCATTCTTCCCTCTCCATGTGCAGGAAAGTCAGCCCTTGGTGTGGGGAGTTGTTTCTCAAAATAGAACTTCTTAATATGGTTCCAAGAAGGCCCAGAGTCAATCACAGCTGAGACAGACTTATGCCTCAGCCACTGGACAGAACCTTCGACTACTTATGTACACACACGTACAAACACAGACACGTACCCACAAGCACACCTCACATACCTCTCTCAAAAGTGTAGGAACTGATGACTTACCTCCATTTTTGACATCGGTAGCAATAGCGTGTGATTTGACCCAGAAAATAGTAACTTCCTGTTATGGGCCCTCAACAAAAAGCGCCTTTATTCTGGGCAGAGCTCTCTGGACCCCAGGGTTTGTGCCCAGCATGCTTACGGACCCTGCATGAAACCGGATGTAAGTGTGAAAGGTGAGGCGGGTGCCACAGGCCAGCCTCGGCCACTCCCGCCAGACTAAATAGAAGCTTCATTGGTGGCGTTAATCACCAGGCCAAGGCAGTGGACACTTCAGCCTCTCATCTTTCAATGGTCCCTTCACCATGGGGAAAACGAGTCACTGACTCATTTGCAATTAGCTGACCTAATGGGACAGAATTTTCCATGCCAGATTCTGTGGTAACAGAATTTTATTGTCACATTGGAGATATTTTGAGCCAGTCTCATTTCCAGGCAATTACTCTTTGAGTCTGTGACACAACCGCTGGACACAGCTGCGTTTAAGGTCCTTGATTAGGTACAAAAGCCACACTCTCTTGGGTTCTGTGCGAAGGAGGCTCCAAGTCCATACCGTGACATTTTATCTATGTAAGTCAAGGCAAGTGAACAGTCTGTCAGACCAGCAGGTTCAGGCTTGGGCAGAATCGTAAGACTCTGTGGTCTGTAGGGGACAAGAAAGCTTACAGGAAGAGTGACAAAGAGATTAAAATTAAAAGGGCTACGTTTCCAGTAAGGAGTGCTCTTCCTCTGCTGTGCAGTTCAGTCGTGCACCAGTCAGATTGATGTGGGGAAATAAGCCCTACCCTGGGTTTAGAGCCAGCTCTTCCACTAGCTTGCCATGTGACTTTGGGCAGGACGCTTCAGCTCATGGGTACCCATTTTCTCATCTGTACAACATGGCGTCGGATTATATCATCCCCAAGGTTCTTTCTAGTGGTGACATCCCACCAAATAGTAGATGATTCAGCACCTACTGTGTGCCAGGCATCATTCTAGATGTTGAGAACATGGAGGTGACCGTGAGAAAGCCCCACCAGGAGCTTATGAATAGAAGCCAGTAGAAAGAGACAGCTGACGAGAAGGATGGTAAGATTTGGATCTGAGAGGCACAGGGTGGAGCATTTAACTCTTTGAGATAGGATGTCCAGAAAAGTCTCTCTGAGGAGGTGACATTTGAGCTGAGGGCTGAAGACTGATAAAAAGGCAGGCGTGCAAGTATCTCGGGGGCCATGATGGTAAAGAAGTGTTCTAGGCAGAGGGAGCAGGCAAGGCAAAATTCCCTGAGATGGGAACCAGCTTGGCATGCTAGAGGACCAGAGAGGAGGCTTCTCTGCCAGGGACAGCACCGCAAGGTGAGGTGACATGCATCCGGGGATCTTACTTGAAAGAATGTTAGGAGGCGGAAGTAAACTTTTTGAAAAAATTAAAGACTGTTTTGTAATATTCCTAAATATTAGCTGTTTAATACCCGGGATCTTGTGTTCTTGAGCACGGCCCAATCTTACAAGGGTCTCTCTGGGATTTAGAGTGGGTCCTGGGCTACAATTCCATGGCCCAGGACTGAGGATCCACCACAGCTGTCACACAAACAGCACCCTGTCGAGTCCCAGGACGAGTACATGAGAATACTTAAGCGTTTCTGATCTGACTGAGGAATTATGCAAGCCTGGGTATGCTTTCCATAGTCTCCTTGGCAACAGCCCTTGGTGCCTTCTCCCTTGAGTTCCCAGACACCACCTATGCACTTCTCCCTCTTTCCTACCTGTGCGTCTGACCGTGAAGTGGCTGTACTTTGCTATGTAAGGCATGCTTGCCCTGTGTAGGACAAACCCTCCCAACTAGAAGTTGGATCCCTCTATCTTGACTGATGAATAGCTGGTCCTCTTCTCATGATTTTGGCCTCACTTCCTTCTCCTGCGCCCCTCAGGCTCCCACTCAAAGAGGCAGAATGGTCCCCTTTGGCCCCACTGACTACAAGGAGCAGCCATTGTTGTCATAACCCCTTCTCCCCGGCTGTCTAGGCTTCAGCCTGTCTGTCTCCCTCACAGGAGGCAGCCTCCCACCTAATCCCTCGGGGCTCCACTCTCCAACTGTCAGGGAAGACAGATGGGGAGCAGAAGAATTCACACACTCTCTCCCCTACTCGCTGTCCTTGCCATCCTTGTTGACTGGCTCCTGTTCTTGTTGGGGTGGCCCTTAGCACAGCAAGGAAATCTGTGTTGACTGGCCTGCACACGGGGAGCTTTCAAAGGGAGCCCAGGGTTCCTCCCCTTGCTCCCCTCTGATTGTACTAAAAGAGGCTTATTTGCATAGCTGTCTTAGAAACTGAAAAAAAAAAATTGCAAAGAAGAAGCACTTCAGACGCACTTCTTTTATTCCTATTTCTTTCTAGAACTGCTTCCCCTCTTCCTGTAGCTATGAACACCTGTTTTTTTGACCTGCACAAAAGCACACCTTCCCGCCCCTCTCACTTGGCTTATCTTGAGTCTTTCCACATTCACACTCACCAAGGCCAATAATTTGCCAGTTCCTGCTTGTTTATCTTCCAGGACTTCGGTGACTGTGAACCAAAAAGATAGGTGTTCTTCAGATGATAGGCACTAATAATAAGCTTTGAAGCTGTTGACTTGCTTCCTCTTCAAAAGCCTGCTTTTAGGCTGCAGTTCGTAATTGAATTCAATTGTGAAATGCTATTTTTAATAATGTCATTGTGCTTTTACTTGGCAGTATTGTTCTCTTGGGTTGATGGGGTGAGACCTATCGCATCTCTATAACTGATGCTAAAATTCACAACCATCCGTCCATACATCCATATCTATTTGGACATGCTGTTACCTGTGTATACACACACACACACACACACACACACACACGCGCGCACGCGCACACACACACACACACACACACTTTCTTGTATTCCCAGTATGGCTACTCCTCCTTTTGAGTTTGACTTCCCAGTACATTCTAGCTTAAGAGCAGAAAGTCAGTGTTACTGGTTGAGTGAACACACCAGTCCAACTCTGGCTAAGATAAGCAATCCTTTCAATTTCTCCTTTGGGTGCTTCCTAGACCAAGGTTCAGTCTTCAGAGGTTCATTCCTTCCTATCGACTTTCATTAATAGCATCTTAAGAAATTTAATTTAAAACTGTGAACATGATTGATATTGTGTATCTGTGACCTCAGGCTAATTTTAACTTTGTGGAATTTCTTTTCCCTCAACAAGTACCCTTTTAACAGCCCCGCTTCCCGGATGGAGCCTTGTTTGATGAGCAGTACTCCCAGACTGCATCCTACCCCGGTCACCCCCCGATGGCCAGAGGTGCCCACAGCCAACACGTGCTACACAAGCCCGTCCGTGCATTCCACGAGGTATGGAAACTCTAGTGACATGTACACACCCCTGACCACGCGCAGGAATTCTGAGTATGAGCACATGCAACACTTTCCTGGCTTTGCTTACATCAACGGAGAGGCCTCCACAGGATGGGCTAAATGACTGCTACCATAGGAATCCATATTTAATATTAATAAGTATTAATAATAATAATGAACCCATCCACCCCTCCCCCAGAAGACTTTATCTCTATACATCATAACTCATGGACTATTCCTAGGCGTCTATTTTCCTAATGAACGTGAGGCTGGGGTTCAGAGTGGGATGAATAAACTTTAGTTCAGAAACGGGACTCACTAAGAGTCAGTGAGATTGGGTTCCTGTAGCCAAGCCAGACTTGTCTTGACTTTCTATAGAGCACTGTCTCGGGCAGGGCAATCTGTGCCTTTTCCCCTCTATGACTTTGCTTTGTGTTGGCAAGCACT